GCCAAAGGGTCTTAGGGGCTTCAACATGCGCTGGCTTTGGCTAAATCAAAGCGACCTGGCCTGTGCTTGGAAAGTCAGGGCGTCACTGCGCCCCTCTGAGCCACAGTTTGGCCACTCAGCTCCGCTGCACAGGCAAAGCCGCTCCCCCAGCCTCTAAGTCAGCTCCTAGGTTTACCTCCTGCAGTCAGGGAAGCGCGCCTGAAGAGAGGAGCGGAGCAGCACTGTAGGGTTTTCCAATTCGGCCCCGAGTCAAAAGCCGGTCTTCAAGTAGCTCCTGGATGCGGGAGAACGGTCGGGAGCCGCGCCGAGGATCCCCTATTCATTGAGTCCCCACTCACAGCTGTTTGCAGACGGAGTCGTGGGCCCTGCCCTAAAGCACCGAGCAAAAAAAGAGAGAGAAAAAAAAAAAACAGTACAGTTTCCTGCAGTCGTTGAGTCCCATTTTCAGCTTCCTGGGATAAAATGGGTCTTCTGCTTAGCAAATGGAGAGAACCACGTTCTGCAGTGTGGGCATGAACGAGGGCCCTAGGGCCTCCTCGGTATCAAACAGGCGGAACTCTAAAACACAAAGCAAAAGTTTTCCCGGGGGTGGACGTGCAAGAATCAATCTCACAGCCCAGCAGACATTCTAAGGGCCATTTGCCCCACTACACACATACACCTGACTCCCCCCAGATGAGATTAATGAATCTAAAAGGGGTTGGATTTGATGACTTTCAACCAAGGTCACTGAGAAGCCTCTACCAATTTAAACAGCTAGGAAATCCAGAGGTTAGGTTAAGTTAGACTGAGGAGTGTCATAAAGACCCTCTAAAATTAGGACTGCATAAAATGAGGCCAAAGGAAAAGTCCAAGTTATATCATTTAAAGACGATTTAAAACCCAAGATGATACCAAAATATTAGATGTGGGCTCTAGGGATGGAAGGCCTGTTTCCATCAGTTTCGGAAAATTTCTAACACAGAGAGATCCTTTAACAAATGTGTAGGTAGGTGGTATAAATTCCAACAGAAATTACTGTAATTTTAAAATGTGTATTAGGCACTTAATAGGCACTGGATAAAAGTCTGTGAGACAAATGAACAGGGTATCAAATCATGCTCAAGGCTCTGAAACAATGCACTGCTCTCAAGAAGAATGTGGGGAAGCCTTATTTGTCAGAGAAAGCTTTGTTTTGTTTTGAGTTACTGTTCAGTAATTTGTTTTCCCAGTTATTAGCACCTTCCAAGGCATCTCCTGCAGGAAATATTCTCTTGCAAATTCAGCAGCTATCAGTTAATTCACTACAAAAAAAACTAAAACTCACTGCCCTTGAGTTGTCCTGACTCATAGCAACCCCTCCTTGGGTTTCTCAGGCAGTATCACTACGGAAGTAGATTGCCCCATCTTCCTTCTGAGGAGTGGCTAGTGGGTTTGAACCTCCAGCCTTCTGGTTAGCAGTCAAGTGCCTTAGGCACTATGCTACCAGAGCTCCCTTAATTCACTATATTCATAATTAAAACAAAAATTATACATATAATCAAAACAAAAATTATAGTGCCCAAGGCATTTGACAGCTAACCAGGAGGCTGGTGGTTCAAACCCACCAGCCACTCCTCAGAAGGAAGGTTGGGCAATCTATTTCCATAGTGATACCGCCTCAGAAACCCAAAGAGGAGTCTCTATGAGTCACATCCGACTCGACGGCAGTGAGTTTTATATATATGTTTAGATATAGATATAGAAAGATATAGAGATAGAGATAGA